GTGTGTTTGTGTGTGTGTGTGTGTGTGTGTGTATCTTCTTGAACCATTCATCTATTTTGGGACATTTAAGTTGTTTCCATATCTTGGCTGTTGTAAATAATGCTGCAAATAAACATAAGACTGCAGGTTTTCTTTCAAATTAGTGTCTTCCTTGGATAGATTCTTAGGAGTGGAATCACTGGGTCATATGGCAGACCCATTTTTAGTGTCCACATGGCTTTCTATATGGGCTGGACCAGTCTAGATTCGCACCAACAGTGTAAGAAGGTTCCTTTTTCACACCCTCACCAGCATTTGTTTGTTTGTAGTTATTTTTTTTTCTTTTAATATGGGCTATCCTCATAAGTGTGAGGTGGTACTTCATTGTGATTTTGATGCATTTCCCTGATGATAAGTAATGAAGAACATTTTATCATATGCCTGTGATACTCTCAATTTTCAGATATTTTCTATCATCCTGAATATTTCCTTTTTGTTGTTCGCTGCATGAGAATAAATACAACTGCTAGTGACCCCTCTCCCCTTTACTTAAAAGCAGGTAATGGTAGTTTTTTTATTACTTGGGATGCATATATGTGGTTATTTCTTAAATTAGTTGGGCAATGGGGAAACTGCCTAAAAGCAATCATCCAAATGCCTTAGGAATTCTTGCTATAATTTTTAACACATTCATACTCTTAGTGATGGAAACTTACATCACTGAGCACATATGTTTCAGTATTCTCATCAAGACTTGGAAGCTCAGTTCTTTTGCAGTTCTTCATGGCTTAACTGATTTTCACAGTATTTTATTATGAAAATTTTCAAATATACTGCTCAGTAAAGTACACAGTCGACTGAATCCCAAACTGATAATCCAGATGCAACAATGAACAAGATTTTGCCACACTCATTAAGGTCTATCTCCGTTTTCTTCTTGATGTCATTGAATCTACACTATAACCACACTGCCATTATCATATCCACGAATCAGTAGGATTTTTCATCATCAAATATGCAATTTAGAAATATGTCCCAAAAATCTTTTTATGCTGGTTTATTCAAGTCAGCAAATTTAGTCTTAGTTTCCATCACTAAGAGTGTAAATATGTTAAAAATTATAGGAAGAATTCCTAAGGCATTTGGACAATTTACCTTAAGGCAGTTTCCTCATTGCTCAGCTAATTTAAGAAATAAACACATAGCTACCTCCCAAGGAATAAAAAACTACCATTACTGCTTTTAAGTAAACAAGGTCCACACTTGACATTGGATTGCTAATTTTTTTTTTTTAAGATTTATTTATTTGTGCATACAGAACTGGGGTACAGGCCAGAGGCTCAGGGGCGGCGAGAGGCTTCACCAGAGACAGAGTGGGGAGCAGAACAGGCAGATCAATGAAGTACACTGCTGAGGGGAGCAGCGGGCGGGTCAGGAGAGGTCTGCCACGCCATGTGGTCACCTCCGGGGCAGGCGGGAATCGAACTCATGCGGAAGAGGCTTTAGATTCTCAGTGCTATGCTTTAACCCGCTGCACCACCAAGGAGGGCCCGGATTGCTAATTTTTAATTATAAAAGCAATACATGCTCATCATAACAAAATCAAACAACTCAGAAAGTTGTAGAGTACCATTTCTTCTCTCCCCATCACCTGCTTTTCATACCCCACTGTTAAGTTTCTTGCAAGCCTTAGAACATTTTAATGTAAATGTATATAACAGTGGGATGATACTATATAATGTTCAGTAATAATAATTTTATAATTAAAAAAGATGGTTGTCAGTACATCTAGATCTGTCTTTATTAGCTACAGGACATTCCTGCACAGGAGTGTGGCAAACTTTAAACCCATACTGATCAGTAACTGTGGGTTTTCAGGTCATTAGTAACAGTACTACAGTAGAAATCTATAAAATCAATATAATTTTTCATCATTAAAAATGCAATTTAAAATATGTCCCAAAAATCTTTTTATTGCTGGTTTGCGCAAGTCAGGGTCAAATCTAGGTCCACACTTGTGGTCAATAACTGTGGGTTTTCAAGCCATTAGTAACAATGGGAAGAAGTTCAATAGTATTTCTTCAAGTACTAGTGAGGGATAAATTTCTAAAACTGGAACTACTAGGTGAAAGTACAGGCATGAAGTTTGTTTGGATACATATCCATGACCAGTAGAAGAAATGCACTGACCTCACACTCTCATCAGTCTGATTAGGTGGAAAAAGTGGGTCCTGACTTCCACTTGAAATGTCCCTGCTAGCAATTTCCAACAATTCATTCAAATGGGAAAGTCCTATTAAAATGACTGATACCAGCACTGTTGCAATCTAAAAATTTGACCCAAGTATATCCCAGCAAAGTAGAAAACTAAAAATATTCCAAAAAAAATTAAAGCTTCATAAACGCTCCTTCAAATTTCATCTAGGGAGGCCCAAATCCTTATTTTCTCTCATTGGCGCGGGCCCAGACTATACAAAGTCTTCAAAGAAACTTTGGAGAGAAGTTATTTCTCTAACGAAATAGAACATGTGGCAGGTCAGGGATTCTTGTTAGCTTGGCCTTGCCCAACAGAGATGGCACTAACCATGGGTAACCTGTCTTGAAGCACTTAAAATACAGTTATTGCAGGACCAAATTTCTAGCTTTTAATTTTAATACTTAATTTAATTATTAGAAAACATTTAAATGTTTCCAGAAACTCGAGCTTTTCCACAGTAAACTTAATGACATCTAAAAAAGATGATGTACGACAAAAACCTAGTGTCTGGATCAACACATATTTTAGTATAAATTACATGCCAGATTTTGAAGACTTAGCATTAAAAAGAAATCTAAAACACCTTAATAACTTTTATATTGACTACATACTGAAATGATGTTTTTGATGAATTGTGTTAAATAATTATGAAATTATTTTCACTGGGTTTTCTTAAGAGGAGATATTAATAATATTTATATGGTTCATTATATTTGTTAGTGCTGCTCTAGATCGGGATAACAAACTACATTTTTCTGAGGGGACGTTTCATGCCAATGTCCAAGAAACTGAAGTTCCAAGGTAAGAATCACCCACTAGAGAGAACCGTAAGATGCCCTTTCCAGCTCCTTCTTGAGGCTGCTCTCAAAAGAACCTTTTTCTGAGAGGTAACTGATGCTGAAATACACAGCATTTTGCCAAATCACTGTTATTCTCTCATAAGTGAGGCTTCCAGCAGCCACCTCTTCTGACTCTGATTCATCAGCTGGCCGGCTTTGGGAGTAAGCCTGGCTGTACTTCTGAAAACGTGACCTTCACAACAAAGGTTAGTTTTCCAGAAAAAAAGTTACAACTTGAGAAATGCAGCAGCAGCAGCAAGCCTAACATAGCCGTTATAGCTTCACTTCCCACACCCATGTCCTCTGCTCCAAAAGGCGACAAATATTCTGGGACAAATATCTTGAAAGGCTGTGAAAATGTTGCAAGGCTAATTCAAAACTGAAAGTAATTACTCCAATTAAAAGTACTGACCCGAGGAGATCAGAGGAGTAGCTCCAAAAAATCGGGTTCAAAGAAAGGGAATGAAAAGAACTGTCCACTTTGGAATAATAAAGTACTCCTCCTTCATCTTATAAACTGATTAAATTTATAAAATTTATAATTGATTAACTAATATTGAAAGTGGTATATCCTTGGTAAAGCAGTAGGAGACAGTTTTCCTTTATCCGCTCCTCATATATCCTTTCTGTGTTTTCTCAGAAAGCTGAACATCAGTACATTTTTTTAAATTGAGGTTTAATATTTGCCCTTTTTTAAAATTTTTTTTAAAGATTTATTTATTTATTCATACACAACTGGGGTACAGGCCAGAGATGCGGAGGGTGAGAGGATTCACCAGAGACAGAGTGGGGAACAGAACAGGCAGATCGATGAAGTACACTGCTGAGGGGA